CACAGTCTTGGACTGGAGACTGGAAAGAAGAGTGAAATTAAGACAAGCCCTAGACTATAGAAGGCCTGTCACAGGCCCAAAAGGGGCGTGGATCAGACATCTGGAAATTGAGGCTGCAGGCCTGTGCCAAGCTGCCTGAGTGAGTAATAGGGCACTTGTATGTGCTGGACTAGAGGTGGAAAAATTGCTAGGGAAGAGGGAAATTTGGAGGGCCGGGGCCCCAGTGCCTGTGAGTTAACAAACTTTCCTTCTCCACTTGAATCCTTTCAGGATGGTATAAAAAAAGTTGAACTGTATACACAAGAAGACTGAACACAGGCTGGGCATATTTTCCTTCCTGCGAGGGGAGGGCTGTCACACAGAGAAAATAAGGTGCTATGGGCCAGAGAGTGGAAACGTCTCCACTCTAGCCAGAAGTCCCAAGCTCCCATGGCGGGGCCTCCTGTGGAATTTAGGTCTTGGCCAGAACTCCCTGCCTTCGACCCCAGAAGGTTTGGGGGAGGCTTAACAAACCTGGCGGCTGCTCTTTGGGTTTGGCAAACTCAAGATTTTTCCAGCGCCTTGTGTTCAGTGAAACCGAAAATGTGCTTGGCTAAGAAGCCCTTCTCTAATTTTTAAACCCCTGTGCATTTTTTATGCAAATTTGATCCACATGTTTTTGATTTATTTATATTGAAGTCATCAAATCAAATTAGGAGCTACAATGATGAATGGGAACAATGCTAATTTCCAAGAAGGTTTTTTTTGAGTCCTTTTTCTTAGAACTAAATCACATTTCCTCATCCACCCCCATCAACCGTTAAAATTACCAGACTGAGCTGGATTTGAAAGTTAGAACCCCAAATGTGAAATCAAGATCCAGGCTTGGCAAAGACAAAGCCAAGTAGGGGAATGTTCTTAGGAAGTCACAGTTAGAAAGCAAGGGCGGGGTGTGGGGGGTTGATGAAGACAGGGAGGGAGCCTGTTATTCTTCATTAGATGGCTTAAATAAATTAACCTGGCTTTCAATGGCCCTACAGCAGCCCCCTAACCATTTCCCTTAAATATGAGCTTACGACAACCCCCTCAGGCAAAGGCATCTTAGCCCCAAGGATGGGGAGTGGTGGTAAATACAGAGCCTATGGGGGGGGGGGAGTTGGGTGCCAAACCTATCTTCCTTCTTCTGCTCTCCTCCACAAAAGCCAGATCACACTGTTCCTCCTCTCCCCTTCTAATGGTATCCCTTCCCCCCTTCCTCCTTTCCTGGCTCTGGGCTAAGTCCTTTCCATCTGGAAGCATTTAAAATGCACGACAATTTTTAATCTTATGCAAGATATCTTAAGATATATGTTGAATATCCATTAAGATAAATTATAAGTACATAATCAAATTTTGCACAATTCTGTTTGGCCTAGGCTTACACATACACAAAATACCATTATTGTCTTTTCCAATTACCCTTCCTACTATATTATCTTCCTCAACCTTAGTATGTATCAGCTTGCTATTCAGTAATTGTGCAAGCTTGGGGAGTTATTTTACTTCTCCCAGTCTCAATTTCCTCATCTGTATACTTACAGGTGGGTATAGCAGCTACACTTCCTCACAGAGGTAAGAGGATTGAATGAGGTGCTGCATGTAAAAATCTCTATTTGTTAGACTGGGGAATCAGATTTTCAAAGGAAGAAATAACTTTTAGGACTAATTGCTTAGTGTGGTGACTATAGCCAATAGTAACATATTATAGATTTCAAAACTGTAATGAGTAGATATTTATTTATTTATTTATATTTTTTTTCAGTCATGGGGCTTGAACTCTGGGCCTGGGTGCTGTCCCTGCGCTCTTCAGCTCAAGGCGAGCGCTCTACAGCTTGAGACACAGCCCACTTCTGGTTTTCTAGTGGTTTATTGGAGATAAGAGTCTCACAGACTTTCCTGCCCGGGGTTGGCTTTGAACCGTGATCCTCAGATCTCAGCCTCCTGAATAGCTAGGATTATAGGCGAGAGCCACCAGTGCCCAGCTATGAGTAGATATTTAGAGTAGGTCTATTCCTATGATCAATAGTAGTAGAGTAAGCTGGGCATGGGTGTCTCATGCCTGTAATCCTACTCAGGAAGCTGAGATCTGATGATTGCAGTTCAAAGCCAGCCCAGGCAGGAGAGTCCATGAGACTCTTGTCTCCAATAAACCACCAGAAACCTGGAAGTGGCACTGTGGCTCAAGAGGAAGAGCACTAACCTTGAGCTGAAGAACTAAGGGACAGCACCCAGGCCCAGAGTTCAAGCCCCATGACCAATAACAACAACAAAGTAGCACAATGATTAGAAGATCTAAAAACATAACTTGCAGAGAGCATTCTCTTTTAAGCCATACTGAACTTTTCTATCTATCTATCTATCTATCTATCTATATCTATCTATCTATCTATCTATCTATACACACACACAACACACATACATAAGTGTACACATTTGTGTATGGGACATGAGAGAAATTTTAAGTCTTCCTGAAGGAGCAAAATACCTAATTAATGTAGAAAGGTAAGGGCACCATTAACATGCTTTCCCCCAGCGAGAAGGAACTGAATGAGTTTAATGACAAACTGGAGTCCTAAGAGTTCAAATTCAGAGTTTAATATACTTCTCTGATGGGAAGAAGTTTTAGCAGTACTTCAACCCTGATGCTGGCCAAAATAGAGAGACAGGATCTCATCAGCTTCTGGGGGTTCTTGAACATATGTATGTAGTATTGGTCTTAGTGATACAGAACTGTCATGAGGGTCCAGCAAGAGAACACTTGTAAGCTCCAGACAAGCAGTTACTATTTCAACCAAGCCAACCTCATTTGAGATAATGCTTACTAGAGATTTCTTTTGTCTCAGTAACTGTTAGCCCTTTATCCAGATATGCGTTGGATGCCAGTCCCAGCTCTAGGGGACTCTCAAGGAACTATTCCTGCTCACAGACGTACCAAAGGACTGGGCTAGGTGGTTGCTTGGGCCCATAGAAGACACTGGAGTGGATGGATATACAATGTGAAGGAGGATTGTTAAGCTGGGATGTTGTGTACGAAAGCTGAGCTGGGCCACTCAGGCTCCTCTCTAAAAATATAGATTTGAGAGAATATGAAACTGGGTTGGTTGAATGAAGTGGACAAAAGGAATGTGGCTAGCTATATTAATGGCAAAACTCCCTTAGGAAGTCTGTCAGACTCCTGCTGTGTTAGCTCTCCAGGACTACTTTGATTCCCATAAAGCCTGGTTTCTCAAATATTCTTCTTATAAATAACATAAACATCTCTTCTAATAGAAATACCTCCCTGTTGTGTATGTGTGTTAGCACGAATGGATTTCAGTTTTTTTCCAATGGAAAGAGATTACATTAAAACTACACATATTGAACTGAGTACATGACTCACTTCTGTAATCCCAGTTAACTGAAAGGCTGAGAAAGGAGTATCATGAGTTCAAAGCCAGCCTGAGCAATATAACAAAATCCTATCCCGAGGCCAGCCCAGTGCAAGGCAGAGATTCAGTTGCTGAAATCACCAAATAAACAACCTATATAAATAAACAAACACCCCAAACTCAGTAATTACACAGAGATGGACTTATATCTAAATATTTTGAGCATTTCTAGTGTAAAGGCTAGGTCTGTGTGTGTGTCTGTGTGCATGCATATGTGTGTGTGTGTGTGTGTGTGTGTGTGTGTGTGTGTGTGTGTGCTGGTCCTAGGGCTTGAACTTGGAGCCTAGGCACTGTCCCTAAACTTTTTTGCTGAAGGCTAGCACTCTACCACTTGAGCCACAGCTCTATTTCTGGCTTTTTGTCTCTTTTTTTGGTAGTTAATTGGAGATAAGAGTCTCATGGACTTTTCTGCAAGTCTGGCTTTGAACTCTAATCCTCAGATCTTAGCCTCATGAGTAGCTAGGATTAGAAGTATAAGCCACTGGTACCCAACTTAAAGCATAGATGTAGTGATTGATTTCACAGTATGGCAAAGACCACTGGTTTCTCACTTAGCCTCTCTCACTCCCATATACTAGAGAAATTGGAAATTAAAGGGTTTTGTTGTTGTTGTTGTTTCTTTTTTAAATTCTTCCCAACCTCCTTTGTAGTGACTGGATATCCTGGGAAACAACTGTTTGCCAATGAGATACAAGATAATATATACTGAGATGAAGGCAGTCCCTTCCCATCTTTATGAATATGTTGTGCTTGAAGCTCCTGCCATTATTTGCAGCCATGACGGAAAGTCAGAGAAAAACAGAAAGCCTTGGTACTGTCCAAACCAACAGCCTTGATCCTAGAAACCTGAATCTTCAAAAGCAAAATATAGAGAACCAACATGTTTTCAATTTAACTTCTCAAAAAAGAAAGACTTACTGGTAGAAGCTCCCAAGTAATTTAAACCTAGCGAGAAGGTAAGGCATACATAAATGACCAACATAAAACAGTGGGATCAGGAGTAGGCAATGGTATTACTTCACTCTGGGAGAGAGGAAAATCAGGAAAGTCTACACAGGAGAAATATCTCACTATACCTCAGAGGAAAAAGAACTGGATGTTTGAGGATGAGGAAGAAGGGAATTCTTGACAGAAGAAATAGGAGCAATGGGAGGTCATGTACAGGAACAAGTTCATCTGGCTGGCATAGGGGAATGAAGGCCAGATTAGCAAGGTGAACAAAATTGGATGCCTTCAATGGTGATTCTCCAAGTCATGAGGTACCACCGAAGACTTCTGAGCAATTAGTAATCAGAGTAGTTTTGGGGGAGAGCTCACTTGATGTCAATATGTGGGATGGACTGAAGGAAGCAGAGAAGGCCAGGAGAAGGCTATGCAGCTCTCTGGGGAGAAGGATTTGAATCAAGAGAGTCAAGAGTGGGAAGGAGCACAGGAGAGGGAGAAGTACACATAGCCTACATTGGCTATTGTGTGGACACGGAAGGTAAGGAAGGGAAGGCATAATGTAGAGAACATTTTATTGTACAAAATATAGATAAAAACCTCATGTGTTACCTCTGGAGCTGAAGACAAGAATGGTTTTATGTAGATGTTGGAGTCATGCACCTTCAGGTCATGGTCCCCAAGTCCCCTGGTCACTCCAATAGTTGCCATTACCCGGGCCTAGGATTACAAAGAGAGGGTCACCAGAAACATATACAAGCAGTGAAAACATCCTACCACATGACATCTGAGAGGAGGGAGGAAAGAAGTTCACAATTGGTCCAGCCCATTTTTTCCATGCCCCATGAGTATTTGTTACCAGGGAAGGCTTACCAAAAATCACTTCTGTATTAGAGGACTGGTTTTTTAACTACTTATCCCAAGCTTATAGGGTGGCTCCTGTCTCCTCTAGGCTTTCTTTTACTGAGACTAGAGAAGGAGTGCTCAACAGACTCATCCTAACCCAAGTGTGATGTCTATACTTACTGATCCAACAGCATCCATCCATCCATCCATCCATCCATCCATCCATCCATCCATCCATCCATCCATCCTTCTACACTTCTGTAACTCACCTACTCTACAAGTATTTGTTGGGGCTCCAGTCCTGTAATAGGTATTAACAAGGATGGAAAATCTGAGGCATCATCAGTCCTCCGAGAGCTCACCTATTAAGTTTTATGGCTAGAGAAAACAATTGATTAGTAATTCCATGATCTATCTTTGCGAAATCCCATGAATTCTCCTCTGGATTTAGAGGAACAAAATGGCACTAAAGCTGCAGCTACCCAAAGACTTCTGGGACTGAGATTTCATACCTTTTTTTTTTTTGTGGGGTGGAGGATGGTTTAAGAAAACACATTGTACTAATATCTACACAGTCAGCTTAAATATCTCCTGTGGTGCACAGTTTTGGTATTCCAGTTATTTATTGAACACCTACTATGTGCAGGTAGGATATAGTAGGAGCCACAAATGTCTAAAGTTTCATCCTTATTACAAAGAAACTTGGCCACAACTTGGAATTATTGTCTGGAAGTGGAACTGTGGCTCAAGTGTCAGAGTGCTAGCCTTGAGCACAAAAGCTCACAGACAGTGTCCAGGAGCAGCAAAAAAAGGAAGGAAGGAAGGAAGGAAGGAAGGAAGGAAGGAAGGAAGGAAGAAAGAAAAAAGAAAACTTGACAAAAGAGGTAAGAAGTACAAACTAGTAACATGGCCAAGTAACATGGTTAAATGACATGGCTATGTGCTGAAAGGCACATGATCAACAGGTTGTATGAATTTAGAGGAAGGAATAAAAATTCTACTGAGAGAAGTTTCCCTGGAGGAAGTGGCACTAGCTTAAGGCCAAAGGATGGACAGCACCAGACAGTCAGATGCATGGAGACAGAGTACAAGTCATTATAGGAAGAATGAAATCAAAGAGCCTAACCCTTAGACCATCAATAATACAGCCTGTGTAATGTCATGATTCAAAGACCTGAACTTCAATCCTTCTACTACTTGACTAATAGAATACCTCACAGGAGCTAAAGGTATGGGCTCAGCAGTAGAGCATCTGAGTTCAATTTCTAATACTGGCAGACACAAAAAAAGAGTGCCTCACAGGGGCAAGGATGAAGCAAATAACTTAGAGTCCAACAGTGTCTTCATCTTTATCCTAGTCTCCTCAACAGGCTGTGAGGTTTGGAGCTGGTCTTAGATCCCAGGGTAAGTAGAGTTTATGTTCCCCACATTTACATTACATTAGAGACTATAACATATATATGTATTTTTTTAAGGGCCAGGGTCAAATGCAGGGAGGAGATGCAGAGAGGAGCTTTAACCCCTGGTCCAGAAGGCAGAAGAAACCCTGTCCTCTGTGGAGAGGTGGCGGGGGGTGAGCTCTCTTCTAGCTAAGAAGTGTTCAGCTCTTAAGTGTGAATGCTCTAAGTCCCCTGTGGTCCAATGCTTTCTCCATGACTAGCAGTTTCTCTAGCTGGAAATAGTACATGCTCATGTTTTAGTCCAAAGGAATCTGATGTTCCTGCTAGAGACTAAAGCTGTTTACAAAGTATATAGGTGTTACACAAACCTGGGGGAAAAAGTTCAGGTTTCTGGAATTTTCACTTCCCTGAGACTTCTGGGATTTAGCCATGGAGTCCACAGACAGGGGTGGAGTGCTAGTTTTGTCCAGGGTGAGCCTGCCAACAAAAGCCAAATGGAGACACTGTGGCTTTTAAATAGGCTAATGACAGAATTGGCCAGCTGCTTAGCACAGGATTATCAAACCTTAATTAACAGAAATCCTTCAGGAACATGATGTTTTGGTGAATTGAACTTTTTGCTTAACTGGGAAAGCCCCTGATCCTTTAATTCCTATAGCTGATAAACTAAGAACACTCCAATCCAGTTTCATTTTTCACAAAGGAAGGAACGTCGAACAGCTTGCTGAACACTGAAGCATTTATCCTAGGTCTGCCTTGTGTCAGGGAGCAGGCTGGGCAGGTACTAAGATACACAGGTGACAGGACGTGGTCTGGAGCTTACTGGAACTTGCTGATGGCAAGGTAACACCGAATTTCAGTCCTGCCAGGAACTGCAGCTTCAGGTACAGGCCACTGAGTGCAATGACAGACATGAATAGAATCCATGGTAACAAAGGACACACACATTCCTCTCAGGAAGAGAGCTTATTCCTGTCAGAATTTGCCACCCAAGGTGGTGAGGTGGGAATTTATAAAATGATCTCCATGTGGGTCAGATATTTTGATTTTGGTTCTCTCCATAAAAAGCCTTTTCCTGTCTCTCCCCATCTCCTCTCTTCATCTCTCTCTCTCCTTCCCTCCCTCCCTTCCTCCCTCTCTCTCTCTCTCTCTCTCTCTCACACACACACACACACACAAATAGAGGTTCTGCCCCTCCACACATACATGCACACATATTCTGTACAAGAGGAACGGCTTTGATTTTCCTGTGAGTTATTACTTCTTTATATATAAAAATACTATAGAATGCTAGGGGGAAACCACTGAAGATTCTTTTTAATGTGAATTGAAAAGAATTGGACCTCTTAGCACTGAGTTGAAATGTATTACTGTTCAGAGGAAGAATGCAGCGATTCAGCAGGTGTTTAACTGGGCAATGGGTTCAAAGCTGAGGAAGCTTTGAATCCATTGCAGAGACGAGGCTCTCTGCTCCATCATTTCACATCACTGTTCATTTTAGGATCAACAGCCTTCTTTGGGTTCAGCTCTGTACTACTCAGTGTTTGCTTGTCATCAGGGCCCTCGGAACTACTGATGCTCTTTCCTACCTAGACCCAGGCTCTGGTTGAGGTGACTGTTGCTTAATTACAGTGAAGCCCTGGAGTCCCTTCGATGAGCAAGTAAAAACCGGACTTGCAGAGTGTGAACTTTCATGGTAGAACATGAGGACACTCAAGCTAGGGAGAGAAAATCAGGGATGCACAGCGACACTGGCCCCTGCTGCCTGTGTAGCTCTGTTGGAGCTGTTAAATCTCACAGCCCTGGATGCCTCATCTACCAAATGGATATGGTACAGCCAGCTGGACGTGCTTCCTTTTGCCCTATACATAAAAGGAGATGATGTATGTGAAAGGGTGAAAAAGGGCAAAAAAGTTCCTCAAATGGAATGGAGGGGGAGGTTAATTTCACAACATCGACTTTTGTCCCTTATGCTCACCACACATCTTCCTACTGCCAACCCTACCACTCCCTGAACTCTGAAGGCAGATGCTCAAGGATGATGGATGTGAGGTTCTTTTAAGCTGTCAAGGCTATAATATCGTGAGTGACTGAGTAGACGTACAGACTGCCACAGGCTATGCCAGCCAAGAAAGGAACGCAGCCCCCTCCTCTTAGTCCAGGATAGTGTGTGTGCCTACCTTCTTGCCTTCTCCATATATAAGGGGAAACTTCAAGTCATCGTCCTCAATGGTTTTGTATGCCCTGTAGGAGGATAAACAACATTTTAAAAAAGGTTGACACTCAATTAGTGACCCCTGCCCTGACACAGGCTGCTTGGCACTTCATTTTTTTCCCAAGACACCATCTACTCACCACTATGCCTGTTTCTTTCTTAATAATCATTCTCCCTACAGAATTGTGTATGTGCACACGTGTGTGTGTGTGTGTGTGTGTGTGTGTGTGTGTGTATTTTAGCAAACCAGAAAACATTGTCTCCATATGTTTGAAGAATGAGAAAAAAGAAGTCGGTATATTCAGTTAGTGAGAAGGAGAGATGGTTTTTTGTTGTTTCTTGTCTGTGCATTAATGATGCTACTCAGCCACAGGGATTGGATTCTCCTCACTGTGTAGCTGTGAGAAAGAACAGTGCTCAGAGGTGGATGGAGTGTGAAGCTGCTCCAAGAGCCAGCCCTCACCTTCAGGGGCCATTTACATCAAAGCAGCAATACTGGAATGCCTGGGGAGGGAATATTTAAGAGCCTGTGTGACCTTAGCATGGCATTCAAGGTTGACAGAAAATTCTTTGCTTCACAATAGCTTTTAGATAGCCATTTGACACACAGGAAAAAAAAACCCAGTTTATGCTTCATGGTTTATTCCAGACATGGTTGTCTAAATTCAATTGCCAGTAAGTCATTTGCTCATACACAAGTTAAAAAACAAACACGATGCCCAATTATTATCTATATCACCTTATGCAAAGAGTGTCACCTTTCTCATTTTTAGCTTCCTCATCTATAAAAATGAGGATAATACATGGGATGTGAAGAACTATGTCTGCACTTAAGAGCCTGTGTTAGTGCAACTATCACTGTATTTAGTAGATAATTAACATTAAGTTATTAAGACGAACAAGTAAAAGATGGCACAGGTTAAGTGATACAGATGTTTTAAAAACATAATGACTCCTGAGTGCATAAGAAAAACTAATTTATTAAATGGTCTTCCACTCTTATACACACACGACAGCTAGGAAGCAATGCTGAAATCACATTTATGGAAGCCCTTGATGTACAAAAGAATATGATCTAATTTAGAAAGTACGCAATCCCAAAATTGAAGCAACTGTACTCTTTTTGTCCAGAAGTCTACTTGGATACTTTGTTCTTTCCCTGGGTGGGAGCGAGGGGCAGAGAACATGTGAGGTTTGGGCATCAAGTGCACCTAGGTTCAAGGTTGGCCCTGGTGAGTGGATGTGCCCTCTGAACTTCATTAATCAGGCAACGCTGTTCCATGGACTAAAAAGGGGTAACATGCAGGACTCAGGAAGTACTCGGTGTAGTGCACGTTGAGAGCTAATAAAGTCAGTTGTTGCTGCTACTCCTGGCAAGTGAGCCTAGAGGTAATCTAGGAATTGAATTTTCAAGAAAGGATCTATACTATTTCCTTTCCCTGAACCTATCAAATTAACTCAAAGTGGAAATAACCACTTTGATGTTTTATATACTCGGATGAACTATTTTAAACAGTGTGGTATATAAGTCACTTGGAGGAATAAATAAAACGATTATGAGAAGCCTGCCCCAGCATGGGGATTGATGGCTCCATACTAAATCACAATTAAGGGCTTAAAAAAATCTTGATGCTAAGGCATCAGCAGTGAAAGCAGAATCTCTAGGGAGTAAGACTCAGGTTATCAGGAGTTTGTTTTTTTTTTTTTTTGGTCCGGTCGTGGGGTCTGAACTCTGGGCCTAGGCGCTGTCCCTCAGCTCTTCAGCTCAAGGCTAGTGCTCTACCACTTGAGCCACAGCACCACTTCTGGCTTTTTTCTTTTTGCTTATGTGGTGCTGAGGAATCGAACCCAGGGCCTCAGGCATGCAAGGCAAGCGCTCTACCACTGAGCCACCTTCCCAGCCCTATCAGGAGTTTTTGAAGTCTTCCAGCCAATGCCAATGTGCCAACAAGGTTAAGGTCCCTGATGCTGTACAAACATCAGTCAAATCAGCTTTTAAGTGAGTTAAGCAATAAGCCCCTAACCATCTTGACCCTGAAGAAGACAGATGCATAGCTTCATGGAGGGGAAGAAAATGGCTGAGAAAGATCTGTAAATGAGAATGAACTGGACTTTGGCTGTTGTATGGAGACAGAGAAGAATGGTTCAGACTAAGAGTGTGCAGTGAGAACCACACATAGAAAAAAGGACTAGCCTGGAGACCTAGGAACAGATGTTTGGTATTGGGAAGGAGGCAGAGGTAAGTAGACCAGAATCAAGGACAGGAAATTACTTAGAGCTCACTCAGTGTCGACTAAGAGCCTCTTAAAGGTTTAAAAGGGCAGTGACAACCCTGTTCTTTGAGACCACCACACGCCTAAGCCATTGACTCCTCTCAAGGCAGAGACATTCTGGAGCATGAATTCTATGCTACAATAGCTCTGAAAGACAGCCACACTTCCTGGAGTTTTTATCCAGCAAATACAAATTTTAATACTATATTTTAGCTTCTGCTTATCTATCTTCAGGAACAACAAAAATTAAAAACAGAAGTGACAACCTTGGAAAGAGCAAGATTTATTCTGCTTTTTACCAGTGTTAGATTTTAATAAAATATGAGCCCTCGCTTTTCCACAGCAACAAATGGCAAGGATAATAACTGTAAGAAGAGAAAATACAACACTCTCTCCCCCTCAGTCTTCTGGGTCCTAAGTACAACTCATCATAAAAAAGTAAGTGTACTTCCACACACAAGAGTCTTGAAGAATGATGCAGGATGTATTGGGGGTTGTGCGTGTAGCATGAGTAATATCCTGATTTTTCAGGATAAATAAACACACACACAAACAAAATAACTTCAATAACTAAAACTAGAGAGTCTATGAGACATTGTATAACAGAAAACAATGTTATTATAACAGAAAACAATGACACATATATGTGTATTATGCAGTTATTGAGAATATGAATAAAACAAACAAGGCTGAATATAGACAAAATAGGCCTCGGTCCATAAAAAAGGAAGACCTGAAGAGATTAATCTTGGCCCATTTCCTTTTCTAGTTTATGTTGACGCAGTAGATATTTGACTGTGAATGGAGAATGCTGTTGCTCTTACTAATTTTAGCTTGCTAATTCCATTTTTCTAGCTCACCCAGAGCTTTCGGACTTCAGCTCCTTCTATTCAAAATATGAGCTCTCTCTTATGCTTTGACATGTTTAGTTTGAAAAGTCTCTCTGCCATCTTTATCTAGATCCCTGAAATAAGACACCAAATGGACCAAGCCATTACGGACCTTCCTGCAGGCTGAGCTACTAGACAAGAGGAGCTATCAACATTTCTTGGAGATATATGGAGGAAAAGTTTGCGATTCGAAAAACCACATTCAGTATCATGGTTCTGCCTCATGGGAAAAACCCACCAATTTCCTTTTGAACGCAAACAGTAGATGGCAAAAAACTTAGCAGAATTCTATCTAGTCAAAATGCACTAAAGGTAGGCTCAACAGTAGAAGCAATAAAATATTAGTTGAAAGTGGGAACATGAAGGATTTAGAAAAGAGCTGAAAACATGGTTCTGTGTAGATGCTGGCCTCACGGACGAGACTCTTTGGGGATAGTTACCAAGCTATAGGAAGCCTTAACAGAGCCATTATCCACTCTGGATTTCTCTCTCTTATCCAGCAGGCTAAGAGAAGAAACTCTCAAATTTCTTGTTTAGTCAAAGTACACCCATGTGCACTATTTCCATGATTAAGCAACCTGGAAACACTATCCAGTGGGGAACTAACTGAACTCAACTTACCAGTGAATCGAAGGTGGCTCCTGATTCCACAAGGTCCACATCCTTCAGTCCTTATTTAGCTAGACTTTTCTCCCTTGTATCTACCACCATTTAATACTTAAAATATTTTGCTTCCTTATTATGTTTCTTTTCTCGATTGTTCTCTCAAACCCCCTGAGTTGTGTGAGGACAGAACTTTTGTTTTGGTCACTATAGAAATTTACAAGAGTACCCAGCATATAATGGGTACCCAAGAAATAGTTGACTGAGCAAAGAAAGAATACTACCTTCCCAAAGAACTTTTTTTTTCAATTTGCACACACATTTACAAAGCAGAGCCACCATCCTCTTCTGTATAACACACAAGGCACTCCTTGATCTTGGCTTCATGGCCTTGGATGTCTTATATTCTATTCCTGTGCTGTACTTGTAACTCTGCTCTCGGTTCCCCCCGCCTCCTGCCTTCTTTTCTTCTTTCCTTCTTCTGTTTCAGTACAGTACTGGGTTTTGAACTCAAGGCCACATGCTTGTTAGGTGCTCTACCACTGGAGTCATGCTCCCCTAACCTTTTTGTTTCAGCTACTTTTTAGGTAGGGGCTCAAGTGTCAGCAACATAGCAAGACCCCCTTTCAAAAAAAAAGAAAGAAAGAAAGGAAAAAAGAGATGGAAATGGAGGAGGAGGTAGAGGAGGAAGCAGTCGGAAGAGGAAGTCCTTCCTAGTAATTGCCGCATCCCTCCATCCCCAACCAGAGCTTTCAGCTTGACAATTTCACTCAGGCCAGGAGCCCAGAGTTAATGCTTTGCATCGTCCACAGACTACTTCTCACGATCTCTCTTCTCTCCTAACTCATGACCTTTCACTAGAAAGAGGAAGAGGAAAACCACTTGAGCCCCTAAGACTGAACTTCCTTAGCAAAACTTCAAAGTCATTAAAAAGAATATGATTCTATCTGGGGGAATGAAAGGACTCTCTCCCTTCAGGGACTGATAATCTCAACAATCCTCTCATACAGTTCCAAGGACAAGGACAAATGAGTCACATTCTTCCACTAATCTCTCGACATTGCCTTAGATGCCTCTCCTCCCCTGGGGAAGTTTCTTCTTAGACTCTCTCTTCCCTCCTGGCAGAGTCTACTGTGGTGTGTTAAAGCATACTAGGCTTGGAGTCAGAAGTTTCCAAGTCACATTGCAATCCTCACATGAACTTGCTGTGGAACTTGGGAAGGGCACTGAAGCCTCCATGAACTTGCTTCTTCAGCTAGATAC